TCTTTAAACCATGCAGTATCCCCTAGTTCTGTTTGAACGACTGCCTCTTGATCCATGTACAGATTCCTCATGAGCACAATTAAGTGTTCCAGAGTTCCTCTTCTCCAAAAAGTTATCCATAATTTGTTATGATCCACACAGTCAAATGCTTTAGCATAGTCAATAAAACACAGGTAAACATCCTTCTGGTATTCTCTGATTTCAGCCAGGATACATCTGACATCAGCAATGATATCCCTGGTTCCACATCCTCTTCTGAATCTGGCCTGAATTTCTGGCCCTGCTGTTGATATACTGCTGCAGCCACTTTTAAACGATCTTCAGCAAAATTGTACTGGCACGTGATATTAATGATATTGTTTGATAATTTCCAAATAGACCTGATGGCAACAGGTTTGGTTTTTTGGTTTGGTCATACCAAGAATTCCTTTCACCTTTCTTGGGAATAGGCATAAATATGATCTCTTCCAGTCTGTTGGCCAGGTAGCTGTCTTCCACGTTTCTTGGCATAGACAAGTGAGCACTGCATCCATTTGTTGGAACATCTCAGTTGGTATTCTGTCAATTCTCAGAGTCTTGTTTTTCACCAATGCCTTCAGTGCAGCTTGAATTTCTTCCTTCAGAACTGTTGGTTCCTGATCAAGTGTTGCCTCCTAAAATGGTTGAACGTCAACCAATTCTTTTTGGTATAGTGGCTTTGTATATTCTTTCCATCTTCTTTTGATGCTTCGTGCCTTTGATTTTCCCCATAGAATCCTTCAGTATTGCAACTCGAGGCTTGAATTTTTTCTTCAGTTCTTTCAGCTTGGGAAACACTGGGCGCGTTCTTCCCTTTCGGTTTTGTATCTCCAGCTCTTTGCAAGTGTCATCATAATTCTTAACTTTGACTTCTTGAGGCACCCTTTGAAATCCTCTGTTCAGCTCTTTTACTTCATCATTTTTTCCTTTTGCTTTAGCTACTCAACGTTCGAGAGCAAGTTTCAGAGTCTCTTCTGACATCCATTTTGGTCTTTTCTTTCTCTCCTGTCTTTTTAATAACCTCTTGCTTTCTTCATGTATGATGTCTTTGATGTCATTCCACAACTCATCTGGTCTTCGGTTATTGGTGTTCAACTCATCAAATCGATTCTTGAGATGGTCTCCAAATTCAGGTGGGATATACTCAAAGTCGTCCTTTGGCTCTTGTGGACTTGTTCTAATTTTCTTCCGTTTCAACTTGAACTTGCATATGACTAATTGATAGCCTGATCGGCAGTCGGCCCCTGGCCTTGTTCTGACTGATGATATTGAACTTTTCCATCATTTCTTTCCGCAGATGTAGTCAATTTGATTCCTGTGTATTCCATCTGGTGAAGTCCATGTGTATAGTTGCTGTTTATGTTGGTGAAAAACGGTATTTGCAATGAAGAAGCCACTGGTCTTGCAAAATTCAATCATGCAATCTCTGGCTTCGTTTCTATCACCAAGGCCATATTTTCCACCCTCTGACAGTGTCATCCTAACCTCAGAAAGCACATCATCTTCAAAGAGCATAGTCCTCAAGAATGTTTTGGAAGTCAACACTGCCTAGCCATTCTTCTTAGTAAAATATTTCTAGCAAACCAATATATCGGTGACTCTTTCATACTATCTACATACATGGTGCAGTATTTTCAGCAGTGAAGAAAAGAAAACAACAGAATTTTTTTTTTTAATATTGAAATTAAGAGATCCTAGTTCCTCGCGTTCCTTCCTTGAACTGAGGCACACAGACTCAAATGCCCACAGGCAGGCAGGGAACAGAATGGGTGAAGCTGTACATGCACAAAGAGGCCAGGTATCCTAGAATGTGAGTGCCTTGAGTGCACAAATTTGTGTGTGTGTGTCTTATCTGTTCACTGATGTATCCCTAATCCCTGAAGCAGTTCCTGGCACATAGAAAGTGCTCATTAAATATTTGAGGAAAGAGTGAATGAGCAAATCATGGGATCCGTGGTGAACTGGCACACGCATGACCAGCTTAAAGGCATCCAAATTTTAAAAAGCAAACAAACAAAAAAAAACCCTAACAACAAAAAAGTGTGGTATCAGCCAAATACAACTGGGGTGCTGGGGTGCTACTCCTGCTGTGCACCAGAGCTATGACTCTGGTCAGCCCACTGATACAGGTAACCTTGCTTGGGTGGGGAACTCACAGGAAGCGTTGCATGGGTGAGGAACTCACAGGTAACCTTGTGTGGGTGGGGAACTCACAGGTAACCTTGTGTGGGTGGGGAACTAACAGGAAGCCTTGCGTGGGTGGGTAACTCACAGGTAACCTTGTGTGGGTGGAGGACTCACAGGTAACCTTGCATGGGTAGAGGACTCACAGGAAGCCTTGTGTGGGTGGAGGACTCACAGGTAACCTTGCAT